CAAACTAAAAAAACTCCAACAGCCTAGGGGTGAAATTCTGGCCCTTTTGTTCAAGTAAGTAGCAAAAAAACAAACAAAAACAAAATATATTTCACTATGTTACATGACTTCTAATTTTTTTAAAAGCCTTCTGACACCTCTTACTGGGTTTCTGATATCCCGATTGCTTTATCAATATATAACTTGGTTTGAGGCACAAAATAGCATTTTTCAATGCTCTCCATGGAAATGCAGAAAGCCAGGGTGTCCAACCTTGGCAACTTTAATTCCTGTGGACTTCAACTTCCAGAATTCTCCAATTATGCTAGCTGGGAAATTCTGGGAGTTGGAGTCTGCAGATCTTAAAAGTTGCCAAGGTTGGATGTCCCTGGTGTAAAGTATCTACTGTTGTATACTAATGGTGCGTTTGGCACCATTGAACTGCCTTTTGCTAACTCCCAAAAAAGAGTATTCACAAGATGATGGGGAGGGGGCGGGATAAAAGAATCAAGATGGCGTCCACAACCAGGTGATCAAAGCCCCAACCATCGCGAGGTGCGTACAAATGGAGCAGGGCTACAATCACTTGGTTGTGGTGGATGCCATCTTGAATTTTGCTTCCTCTCTGCAGACATCCCCCCTCCCCTAAGGCAATCTTTTTCAAATGAGGTTCAGAACAGTACAATGCTGGGATAGCAATGTCGGTCTGTTCTCTTGACTAAAATGAAGTTGCAGGTGAACCGTCTGCGTTTAAAATTAATTTCCCCAAATGGAAACAAATTCTCAAATCTTTTTAGTATGGACGTCTAGATGAATGAGGGAAGAAAATGAAGCTTACTCTAGGCAGTCACCTAAAAAATATACCAGGTTCCACACAAGTTGTGCTCTGGGCATCCAGAAGGTATAGAACTATCTAAAACATATTCACAGAGATTATCAACTTTTCTTCGGAGTATTCTTTCTTTTAAAAAAATACTTTTTTTTTTCTCTTTGCAAAATCATTTCATTATACCATGCCTCCCTTTTTTTATTTTAAAAAATAAACTAAAAAAATCCAGTTTTGCATATCTAGCATTAGCATTTAAGGTAGTATGGCACACCCTTTTTTTTTTAATAAAAATTGAAGGGTGGGGGAATCTGCAAAATGCTGCAGTAGTTTTGCCAACATTTATTTTCTTTCTTTCTTTCTTTCTTTCTTTCTTTCTTTCTTTCTTTCTTTCTTTCTTTCTTTCTTTCTTTCTTTCTTTCTTTCATATTGTGAAGCCTTTGGTTAGTTTGAAACCACATGAGATCAGCAGAAAGTAAAAGAGCGAAAAAAGAAATTAAATAAAAACAAAAACCTGCCCCAAAATTATTAGCATTTCTTTTTGCCTTAAATAAGAGAAAGTTCTATCCTTACTGGTCCTAAATCTGAATAACTACATCTATGTATTTAACCTTAATTACAATACAACTACAATATGTACTGGAAGAGGAAGAGAAGAGAAAGGGTATGTGTGGAAGGGTGTCACTATACTAGAATCAGGACAGCACTCTTACAAGATAGTCATTTTTATACATTATTAACATACAACAATGATCAACAAAGAATCTTCTATGAGGTGCCAGAGACCGAGGAAGGAGGAGGAGGAGAAACACACATGATAGTCTACAGTACAGGCACACGTTCCCAGAAACTCCACCAAGGAAGCTCTGTGAGAATCCAAGAGAGCTCCATCATTTAAAAAGAAATCCACCCTCAGGAACTCCTGCACATGGATGGCGTCTATCTTGATTAAAATGTAATAATAATTAAAAAAAATCCCTGACTTTTTTTTTTCTCGCTCTTTTTAATTTTTTTATATATATTTTTTTGTAAAAAGACACTTGAGTCTCAGGGAATTAGTTTGTGATTAATTCCTTCTATTTATTTCATTTCATTTTTATTACTTTTTTGTTTTTTTTAATGTACTACTTGATCAAGTCAAGATAACTTTAAAAAGCGTCCAGCATTCTGGGTTTTAAACCTGGTTGTTTTTTCGAAGAATAAAATAAAAACTTAAAACATATAACAGCCGTCCCCCTCCAGCAAAACACCTCATTTTTGCTGTTAACTTTAAAAATTAGGGCGGTGGTGGTGGGGAGAATAAGATTCTTCCCCTCCTCCTTACAGTTCGCCTTGTGGTGCCTCCGTGAGTGATCGAAGATGCTTTGCTGTAACTTGTCTATTGAACATCTATGTTAGCCTACTGGTTAGTAAAATTTTACAAAAATAGGAGTGCAGCAGCTTTTTTTTTCTCTTAACAAATGTCTCATTCAGTGTCTTATTCTGGCTGTACCTAGAGTACCAAATTTATAAACGTAACAATTTAAAAAAATATTAATAAAACTTGTCAATATTAATGCTTAAAAAAAGAATATATCCACACTATAGTTATGCTTGTAATATCACCTACTGTGTTGTACTTGGAGTTGCTGTTGCCAGCCTATTTGACCCATATTTAAAAAAATTAAATTAAAAAATATCCTTCATAAGTCTCCTCCCCAGCAGAGGACCATATATATAACAGCCAAACATTAAACATGTGCAAATCGGAAATTGTCAGTTTTCCCCTACCAGTCACAGTGCAATGATGGTTTTTATACATTTTTTTTTTCAAATCTGTTTTCATCTACAATAAATTAAGCTTCTCTTGCCTCTAGGGTGACAAACTTGTAGCACTGAGGTATTCATAACGATTTGTTTAAAATAAACCTTTGCCTTTTTTTTTTTTTCTAATTTGTGAATTAGAAAAGAATGGGAAAAAAGGATGGGTTGAAAAAAAAAAGGTGAGAAGATGCATGCTTTAACTGCCCCTCCCAAAAGCTGGGAGCTCCCAAGACGTCAAGAAGGCTGCAGGCCACGGGGGGCCGACGGAGATGGATGGACAGTCAGGTGATCTAAATGGTTAAAAAAAGTGTGCTTGAAACTTTAAATACCTTTTAAATATTAAAAATGTAGCTTTTTCAATCTTGGGAAAAGCAGGGTTTCTTTTGTATTTTTTAAATTAAAAATGTAACTAGACTGTTACTTTCAAAGCTGTGCACAAAGGTCTAGTTAATATGCTGGTATGACGCTAGTACAGTTATAAGGTCTAACATCTACAGAGCAAGCTAAAACAGTGTTGATCTAACTGCTATGGGCCAGCTCTGGCAGTCGATCTCACAAGTTTAAAAACATTGGGGCACAAACCAGCGGAAATGTTCCCTGCGTGCGTGCGGCTGGCGAGATCAATGGGAATTGAGTGAGGGACCTCAACGCCCCTCCTGCATTTCCCATTCATATAAAAAGTCTTGCAGAAGAGAAGATTCCTGTTGGGATGTGTGCCCCAAATTTTAATCTTTGTCTTCCGTTCAGTACAGAAACTGCCTTAATCTGACTCCATTCACAAAAATATTACAATTTCTCTGCTTTAATAGTTTATATGCAAGTTAATGGAATTGTATTTACAGTATTACTATTTTTTTTTAGATTTCACAATTTCAAAAAACCTTATCGCCTCTCTTTTTTTTTAACAACAAAAAAATGCACTTATAGAAAAAGGACACAAAAAACTTTGTAGTCCTTACTTTATTGCCGAAAATAGATATAATTAGGTTAACTAATAAAAAGAACTGCTAGAGATCCTGCTACTGAGCCAGCCTCCTATTTCCCATCCAGCATAAAAGAGAGTATTTCTACTTACTTTTCTCGCTTGCTCTAATTCTAAATTCAGCTTGTGCTAAATTCCACCTGAAAAAGCCTTTTCAACTTCAGAATTGGTACCAATAAACTGAAAATCATGTTACCATTTCAGCAACAAAATTACATAAAAAGAAAGAAATAAAGAGAAAGGGATTAAAAAGCAAAGCAAAGAAACTTTTAAGATATAGAGTATGGTTAGGGTTTTCCTAAATACGCAGAGTAGCAGATCTATTTTGATTATAAACCTATGTCAAAATACTACAAAAAAGTGATTAAAATAGACCTCAAAGGGGGAAAAAAACATCAAGAAAAATAATAACATGAACAAAAATGGATTATATATATATACACATTTGTTTTAAAAAGCTGTTGTTCTATATAGTACAGCAGGTTCATGAGATGATACCGATTTTGGACAACCCATATCCATTGAGTGTCACCTCCAGTTTGTGTGGGTTACTGATGATGGTGCAATGGTCAAAGTCTGAAGACGTGTCACCTAAACATGGAACCATTCAGAAACTTCGCCCTGTCTTGCCTGGACATCCAGATATACTCTACAGTGAATGAAAAGATAAGGAAAAAGAGAAATGCAATGGTTATGTTCTGACCTTTAGAAAAATGCATCTTCTAAGTCCAAGCAGAGACACAGATGAGGTGTTCAACCTGATAGCCCATTTTCTGGCCTCACACAAGTTCTACTCCACATTTATTTCATGTGTTACATTTGCATTTAACGGGTTCCAGCAATACATTGCACCATAAAGTAGTCGGATTATCTTCATCTATACAACAAGCTACTCACAGCCTGTATCAATTGCTTCTACAGGATCACTATAGGAGAAACTCCCTGTGATTCCATACTTCAGGGAGGAGAGTCAAAGCCAAGAGCTTCTTAGGGGCAGCCCCAGTGCTGTGGAACTGCATCCTTGAGACCAGGNGGCAGAATCTCATGTAGTGCTTACACACGGTGAGAAATGGATTGGAATTAGATTCTGCATCCTTTATGAAACTCTACAGTGTATTGATGCAGATTTTTTCCCTTGAATCTGCCAGTGTGTCTAAGGCCCCCGTCACTCAAAATATAGTTAGACCAGCTTCACTCTGCTTTTCTAACCATTTTACTTGGCAGAAAAACAAACACAAACCCCAAACCAAAAAACAAGTAGGAAACCTTTCAAGCAAATACACTAAGGAGTAAAAAATAAGTAGTTAGTGTTTTCTTGTAAACAATTTTATATGCAATATATATATATTATATAACCATGGCTGACATTTGAGGAAAAAATGTAGTAAAACTATATTGCTTTAGTCTTTTTTTGTGTGTGTGTGTCTTGCATTGAATTAGATGGAAAATGAAAGAGGATGTTTTTGGTGACTGGAGTCCCTAGCCCACATTCATACTCCAGACTGAAAGAGCTGTGCAGGGTTAATGGCCGGGTGGAAAAGTAAATTAAAAGTCTGTACACCTTTCAGGTCATTATTATTTACCAACAATTATCCAATGATTCAACTAGCCTAGCAGGATGTGTCACATTCATCAGCTTGCGTATATACTGCTGTACAAGAGAAAGAAAAATTACAGCAAGAGAGCCATGCTACCTTAAAGTCCAAGCTACTAATTCAAATCAAAAGAAACATTATGCAAATAGGAGATTTTAAAAAAAGGGACAGGTTGCTCTTTGTTTTAATCAAGTCAACTTCCAACTTAAAATTGGATGAGAAGTTGTTTTTTTTCCCCTTTGGTGGGAAGAGAAACAAGACAAACTAAAAAACTCCAACAGCCTAGGGGTGAAATTCTGGCCCTTTTGTTCAAGTAAGTAGCAAAAAAACGAACAAAAACAAAACAAAATATATTTCACTATGTTACATGACTTCTAATTTTTTTAAAAGCCTTCTGACACCTCTTACTGGGTTTCTGATATCCCGATTGCTTTATCAATATATAACTTGGTTTGAGGCACAAAATAGCATTTTTCAATGCTCTCCATGGAAATGCAGAAAGCCAGGGTGTCCAACCTTGGCAACTTTAATTCCTGTGGACTTCAACTTCCAGAATTCTCCAATTATGCTAGCTGGGAAATTCTGGGAGTTGGAGTCTGCAGATCTTAAAAGTTGCCAAGGTTGGATGTCCCTGGTGTAAAGTATCTACTGTTGTATACTAATGGTGCGTTTGGCACCATTGAACTGCCTTTTGCTAACTCCCAAAAAAGAGTATTCACAAGATGATGGGGAGGGGGCGGGATAAAAGAATCAAGATGGCGTCCACAACCAGGTGATCAAAGCCCCAACCATCGCGAGGTGCGTACAAATGGAGCAGGGCTACAATCACTTGGTTGTGGTGGATGCCATCTTGAATTTTGCTTCCTCTCTGCAGACATCCCCCCTCCCCTAAGGCAATCTTTTTCAAATGAGGTTCAGAACAGTACAATGCTGGGATAGCAATGTCGGTCTGTTCTCTTGACTAAAATGAAGTTGCAGGTGAACCGTCTGCGTTTAAAATTAATTTCCCCAAATGGAAACAAATTCTCAAATCTTTTTAGTATGGACGTCTAGATGAATGAGGGAAGAAAATGAAGCTTACTCTAGGCAGTCACCTAAAAAATATACCAGGTTCCACACAAGTTGTGCTCTGGGCATCCAGAAGGTATAGAACTATCTAAAACATATTCACAGAGATTATCAACTTTTCTTCGGAGTATTCTTTCTTTTAAAAAAATACTTTTTTTTTTCTCTTTGCAAAATCATTTCATTATACCATGCCTCCCTTTTTTTATTTTAAAAAATAAACTAAAAAAATCCAGTTTTGCATATCTAGCATTAGCATTTAAGGTAGTATGGCACACCCTTTTTTTTTTAATAAAAATTGAAGGGTGGGGGAATCTGCAAAATGCTGCAGTAGTTTTGCCAACATTTATTTTCTTTCTTTCTTTCTTTCTTTCTTTCTTTCTTTCTTTCTTTCTTTCTTTCTTTCTTTCTTTCTTTCTTTCTTTCTTTCATATTGTGAAGCCTTTGGTTAGTTTGAAACCACATGAGATCAGCAGAAAGTAAAAGAGCGAAAAAAGAAATTAAATAAAAACAAAAACCTGCCCCAAAATTATTAGCATTTCTTTTTGCCTTAAATAAGAGAAAGTTCTATCCTTACTGGTCCTAAATCTGAATAACTACATCTATGTATTTAACCTTAATTACAATACAACTACAATATGTACTGGAAGAGGAAGAGAAGAGAAAGGGTATGTGTGGAAGGGTGTCACTATACTAGAATCAGGACAGCACTCTTACAAGATAGTCATTTTTATACATTATTAACATACAACAATGATCAACAAAGAATCTTCTATGAGGTGCCAGAGACCGAGGAAGGAGGAGGAGGAGAAACACATATGATAGTCTACAGTACAGGCACACGTTCCCAGAAACTCCACCAAGGAAGCTCTGTGAGAATCCAAGAGAGCTCCATCATTTAAAAAGAAATCCACCCTCAGGAACTCCTGCACATGGATGGCGTCTATCTTGATTAAAATGTAATAATAATTAAAAAAAATCCCTGACTTTTTTTTTTCTCGCTCTTTTTAATTTTTTTATATATTTTTTTTGTAAAAAGACA